AATCTACCCTCAGACAACAATAAAGTAAAACAAAACACACACAGCCAAAGTTTTACCAATTCTACCAAGTGTTCAACTAACAGATAATTCTAATGCATAGGGATATGAGTTTTAGATGAAATACAAAGAGAGAATAGTCACTAGCTCATTTTATAAGACCGATACAGTCTTTGTCATACATATGGACCAGGCTAGTTGTAGATAGGGCAATTATTATAGGCCAGTCTCACTTTTTTACTTGTAAATAAAATTCTAAACAATGTATAAACAAATTACATCATGGTATGGCAATCTGGTTTAACTTTTAGAATAAACAGGGTGACTTTGGAAAGTCTGTGAATGTATTTCATCACATAACAGGACTAAAGGAGAAGATTTCTTAATTAAAGCAAAAAAAGTTCTTGATAAAATGAAATTTCCTAAAATGGTCTTTTACAAACAATCCTCTCTGCAAAAAGAAATAGGAGAAATAGATAATCTATAACCTATTAAAATGGGTGAAGGGACAGGCAAAAAAAGAAAAAGACGTAGAAGAGAACTTTCCATCTATCTCTCTATTATGAAAAACAAAATTTGATTTTGAAATGGTAACACTGTTAACAAGCAATATTAAAATTTGGAGGGAAAAGGGATAATATTGCCAGCTACTGCCTGCTATTACGGTCTCTTCTAAGGCACTTACTCGGAATCTTTGTAAATGTACTTTCCACATAACTAAATCTAGCACTTAAATATCTTCTGATCCATTAATATGTGCAAAATTCCTTCACCTTGAGAGAAAGGTCTTTGAAAGTTTCCATACTATGCTCTTTTTCATTCTTTCTTCCATAGCATTTTAGCATGACATTCAGCATATTTTAGGTATGTAACAATTTGGCTGAGTGACATCAATAAATGTCTCCTGAAGAATGGTAATTTCTTTTTCCTGATGATTATAGCAATACATCTACATTGTAGGGAAGTTGAGCAATTCAGAAAACAAAATAAAACAAAAAGAATCCCAATTACTCTTGACAGAAGTAACCACTATTGACATATTTTTGTTTCTTTTCCTTTGCGTTCATTTTATAGTAGTAGAGATGTTTCAGTGTAAGTTTGCATCCTACTATTTTATTCTTTTTCTCCCCTACTATTTTATCCTTCTAGAAATATTTCCTGATGTCATAGTTTCTATTTTTTGTTTTTGTTAGCTGTGGTCAAGCCCATTCCAATTCACAGTGACCCTATGAAACAAGAGATTTAAACCTCACAATCTCCACTGTACTCAAGTTCACTACTATAGTCATTATGCCAGTTCATCCTGATGAGATTCTTTTTTTCATTCTCTGATCCTTCACCTTACCATGGAATGCATGAACACATGCCAAAATGATGTGCAACGAAGTCTCACCATCCTTGCCTCTAAAGAGCACTCTGCTTGTTTACAAGATACTAAATATCATGGTGGATGAGAAATTGAAGAGATTTAGTGTCTCATTTACAGTAAAAAAGAACATTTTAAGATCTATCTTCAAGTGTTGTGAGTGATAGGATACCATGCGTATGCATACAAGGAAGATCTGTTAACACAACTATTATTTAAATATGTAAACCAACATCTAGAGCCAAATAGGAAGAAATTTAGCATTTAGGTTGACATGCATTCTGAAATTGATCAAACATGCAGTAAAGATATATTAACAATAATTAGTGACAGGAATGTAAAAGTAGAAATAAAGGAGGAGGAATGGTCATTGGAAAACAAGGCCTTGTTGATAGAAAAGCAGATGGAGATCAAATGATAGAATTTTGTACAATATTTACTCATTGTAAATATCTTCTTTTTGAAAAACAGCAACAAAAAATAAATACATATGCACTTCACCTGATGGCCTACATAGAAATCAGATGTGTGGAAAGAATGACTGGAAAGCATTTTAGTATCATTAGTCAAAACAAGGCCAAGTGTTGACATTGGAACAGCTCACCAATTACTCACGTATCAGTTCAAACTGAAACTGAGGAAAATGAAAACAAACAAACAAACAAACAAATACAACCTTGAGTCTATTTCAAAGGAATTAAAAAGTCATCTCAAAAACACTAAAGACCAAAAAACCCCAAATGTGTTGTGGAATGACATCAAGGATATCATCCATGAAGAAAACAAAAGTTCATTACAAAGACAGGAGGAAGAAAAGACTAATATGGATTTCAGAAGAGACTCTGAAACTTGTATTAGATTATAAAGAAGAGGGGGGAAAGAAATGGGGGAGTGAAATGCTGAAGTAAGGTGCCTGAACGGAAGATTTGAAAGGGCAACTTGAAAATACGAAGTATTATAACAATAGGTGCAAAAAGCTGGAGTTAGAAAACCAAAATGAAGAAAATGCTTGACATTTCTCAAGCTGAAAGAACTGAAAAACAAATTCAAGCCTCAAGTGTAAATACTGAAAAATGCTATCGACAAAATCTTGAATGATCCACAAAGCATTAAAGGAAGATGTAAGTAGTACACAGACTCACTGACCCAAAAATATTTTGTCAACTCTGAACTCTTTCATGAAGTAGCATAAGATCAAGAACCAAAGTTAATGAAAGCAGTTCAGGCAGAGTTGAAGGCATTGGCAAAAAATAGGCCCCAGGAATTGCTGGAATATCAATTAACATGTTTCAACAAAAAGATGCAATTGTGGACCAACTCACCAGTCAGTCCCAAAAAATTTGGGAGGCAGCGACCTGGCCAACTGAGTGAAAGAGATCCTTATTTGTTTCCATCCCTGAAAAGGTGATGCAACAGAGTGTGGAAATTATTAAACAATATCATATGCAAGTAAAACTTGCTGAAGATTATTTAAAAACAGCTGAGACACTACATTAACATGGAACTTCCAGAAATTCAAGCTGAGTTCAGAAATAGCCATAGTACAAGTGCTATCACTGATGATGTCATATGGATCTTGGCTGAAATCAGAGAATACCAGAAAGCTGTTTCCTTGTGTTTTATAGAGTATACAAAGACTGTGGGGATCACAACAAATTATGGATAATTGTAAGAAGCATGTGAATCCCATAATATTTAATTTGGTGTTGGAGAACAGTACTGAATGTCCCACGGACTATCAAAAGAACAGATATGTCTTAGAAAAAGTGCAAGCAGAGTGCTCTTTGGAGGCAAAGATGGAGAAGCTTCATCTCTCATACTTTGGACTTGCTACTTGGAGAGTCTATTCCTTGGAAAGGGACATCACACTTGGAAATGTCAGTGAAAGAAAGGATGATTACCAATGAGATGGACTGACACAGTGACTGCAACAATGGCCTCAAATGTATAAGAGATGATGAGGATGACACAGGATAGCAAAGGTTAAGATCAGTTGTTCATAGGGTAGCTATGAATCATATTCAACTCAATGGCACCTACCAACAATATACAGTACAGGAAGCAGTTGTCCAACTAGAACAAGGGAACACTGCATGGTTTAAAATCAGGAGAGATGCATGTCAGAGAAGTATCCTTTCTCCGTAGCTATTCAATCTGCATGCTAAAGTAAATCGTTCAAGAAGCTGGACTATGAGGAAGAATGCGGCATTGAGACTGGAGGGAGACTTATCAACAACCTGTGTTATGCAGATGATACAACCTTGCTTGCAAAAAGTGACAAAGCCTTGACCCACTTACTGGAAAAGATCAAAGACTGCAGCCTTCAATATAGGTTATATATCAACACTAAGAAAACAAAGTCCTCCCTACTGGGCCAATAGACAACATCACAGTAGATGTAGGAAAGATTGAAGCTGTCATTGATTTAATTTTCCTTGGATCCACAATCAATACCCATGGTAGCAGCAGTCAAGAAATCAACAGATGTGTTACGTTGAGGAAATCTGCTGTCAAAGATCTCTTTAAAGTGCTAAAGAGCACACATACCAGTTTAAAGACTGAGATGCTCTTATCCAAGCCATGGAGTTTTCAACTGGTTCCCATGCATATTAAAGTTGGATAATGAATAAAAATTACTGAATAATTGATGCCTTTGAACTGTGATGTTAGAGAAGAGTATTAAATATACTATACTTTGGACATGTGGCAAGGAGAGACAGGTCTTTAGAGAGGGGCATCATGCTGGGTAGAGTAGAGGGACAGTGCAGGAGGGGAAGACCCTCTATGAGGTGGATTGATTCAGTGAATGGGGTAATCGGGATGGGTGTGTTAGAGGCAATGAGATTGGCACAGGATAGAGCATGGTTTAGGGTTTTTGTACATAGGGTTGCTATGAGTTGCAAACGACTCAACAGCACATAACAACAACAACAACATGGACTATCAAAAGAATAAACAAATCAGTCTTGGAGAAAGTGGAAGCTGGTTGCTCCTTAGAGTTAAGGATGGTGAAACTTCACCTCACATATTTTGGGCATATTGTCAGGAGAAGTCAATTCTTGGAAAAAAATAACAAATTGGGAAAGGTAGGAGGTCAATGAAAGAGAGGAAGAATGACACAATGACTTTGAAAATGGACTCAAACATGGAGATTGTGAGGGTGGTGCAGAACAGGATGAGGTTGGTCTGTAGGTTTGCTATGAGTCAATTAACCTGATGGCACCTAACAACAACAAACTCAGTGCATCTAAATAGTTTTCTCTTGTGTTTACAGCTAATTTTCACAAACGATGCTACTGTAGAGAATACATATGTGTCTGTATTTTCTTCAGCTAGGCCATTACAATTTGTTTCTTCTAAATATTATTTGCATTTCTCAAAATAAATTGACCTGTTTTGGCTACGTCTCTCTGACCTTCTTCCTTCTTTTCCATTTCCAGTTTAACAAAAATAGAAGTTACCAGGATGAGAAAGGAAATAAATCCAAAGGGAGCAGTTTTAGATAGGACTCAGGGCAGGAAATAAGTGAATTTTTCCTCTCAACTGACCCTTACCTAAACAATCCCCTTCCCACGCTCCTTCTAATTTCTCATCTAGCAAACCTCATGTATCATCCTTTGAGAAAAAGCATTCTTACCATAACATTTCTAAGTTCCTATATTTTGTCTCTGGATAAGTCCATTTGGGTTGCTTCTTATTTTCAGCTGCTCCATTGACATTTATGTTATAAACAGGCTGAGAGCCTCCTTTATGGCTCAGGGGCACCTGTCTCTTTAAAAGTTCATTCCCATAGTTCAAGTCCTTATTGGAAAAAGCATTGGCTTGTAGCTGCTGATAAGAAAAACCTTCCTCTTCTTGGTCTCTATGTCCCCTTTCTTTCTTAACATTCATCTCTGAGTAATAGCCAAGAGTGTTTTTATAGGGTACCTTGTCAAAAGCCTGTCTCAGAGGAGCAAATTTGTTGGTGGTTACCCTGGGATTCTGGATTCTCAAAGCACGCGTGTCTTGTAAATCATTGTTAGCGGCATTCATTATCAAAATAGTTTCATTCTTTATCGAAGTGTCTAGAGGCTTATTGTGGTTTTGGTGTTGTCTGGGCACATTATCTGGGTTTCCGCGGCTGTCAATCAGCTCTTCAGTCATCAAAGTTGTGACACCATTCTGGTGTCTATGCCGTGTTCGAATCCTGTGCTTGGCTAGTCTTCTGGGAGGGGGCTGGCCATCAAGTGCTTCAGAAGATCGACGTCTGGGTACACTGCTTGATCTGGTGTTTTCATGTTGAGCCCACTGCTCCTGGTGATTCTGAAAAGATGGTTCTGGTTAATATAGAATTAGAACATTTCTAATATAGAAAATCAGACACTTTTCACAACTGATAAAATGTATGTTTCTAAAACGAGGGGTTGAAATTGCTAGGATGGGAACTAGGGAATTGAAAGCAGATAAGCGTATGCGGGACACTTTTCCAATTTTAGGGATGGAGGCGATTAGCTCCTGGCGACTTCAGAAAATGAGCCTAGATAAAGGCAGAGCTTAGAAGTGGCTTTATACTATGGATCATAAGCTGGTTTACAAACTTGTAAAGCTATGTGTTCCATTATTAGAGAGAGGCAGTTTTACCCTTAAGGGCTACATTTAAAGAAAAAAAAAAAAAGTATAAGCCTACTTAAAAAAACTCTTTTCACTAAGATGAATATTTTCTTTAAAAACAATCTCAATCACAAAGAACACCAATGATTTGCTTCTCCAATCAAGTACACATGTAGTCTGAATGCAACTCAGATTATCCGATTTTACTCCTTCAAGCCAGAAGCTAGAAATGACCTCTTCACTAGATGAAGCAAATTAGATTTTATTAGGAGGATTTTGAAAAGGGATCTGTACCGTGATAGGACATCTGTGAAAGCACAAGGGTTGTTTTGCTTCTGTGCCTTAATATAGCCTGTACTTAGTCAATCAAACATCTGGGGGAAATATTTCAATTTCAGAATGGTCTGATGCTTTTCAAAGTTGTAACAACAAAATGTACTCCCGGCATAATAGATACACGCTGTAACTATATTGTGCTATATAGCCATTTAGAAATATTTTCCAAGGAATGAAAGCAGTCATTACATTGCAAAAAAACTAGCTGAGTTAAGAAGCCTTTGTAAAGACTGATTAAATGCTTACTGAAAACAATAAGAGAACCATATGCATCAGTGTGTTATCCAACGGTAATATATTTCTCCTTTTGTGAACACATGTATTAAAAAAACACATGTATAAAAAAAACTCTGTGACATACAACTAGGCAATTTTAATTGAAAAATGTCAGTTAATTGGATTCATACAGAAAAAAAATGTTTGTAAAGAATGAGACATGTTTTTGCTAAAATTGTTTTTGTTTACCTGGAAAGTGAGCAAATTGTTGCAATGAGTTCTATTTTTAATTATTTTATTGCAATGAGTTCTATTCTTAGTGAATAGAATGAATTACAAAGATTCATTCTATCCCTGTAATAATATTAAATGGTATTTTATCTTTTACAAAATCTTGCTCTAATGGTAAGCCTGAGATTGCTAAATTTAAAGCAATTCTATTTCTTATACTATATTTTTTTTGGGGGGAATGGCTTCTAATGGGAAATGTAAGAGTATTTTTTTTCTTACAGTTTGAGCTTTCCAGGTTCTAATTAGCTCTTCTTAATTTTTTTTTTTTTTTATGCTTGGTGTTAAAAAAAAAAGAATGGAAATGTCCCCCCTCCCTTTTTTTAAAGGCTAAGACTGTATTATTTACAATAACATTGCCAGAGGAAGGTCTTCCAGAGGATATAATCCCATAAAATATTTGATGTCAACAAAAAGTAATGAGGAAATTTAATGCAAGAAATAGCAATGAGGGTTGTAGAGTGGATTATATTTGGGGCTAGGGGGTGC